GGTGTTCCATCAGCTCTGTAGGTATCATGCTGGACTAAGGAGTGGATGGCCCTGGTTCGAATTCCAGATTTGGCATTCTTGAACTCGTGTCATGTTGCAGAGTTTTCAAGACTTTCTACCCAATTGACTTGGACGTTAAATTCGGAGGTCCCTCCTCTTTAACTTAAATAACCTAACAGTGTTGATTAATGATAGGGGTGTCAAATTCATTCACTGAAGAAGAGTTATTGTGAAGTCAAGATGGGCTTCAATTAAAAAGTATTTCTCCAGAATAAACATTCTATAATTTCAGAATTTTATTTCAGTCTCCCACTGGGGACTCAGATTATTTGTACATCGACCCATTTGATATTGAAAACAAGAGAAAATTCAGTTACACACATGGCGAAATCAGCAAGACATAGAAATCTTTTGGTAAGGAACGAATTTCGCTATGTACATGTTTTAAATACAAATAGTGGATGTAAAATTTTTTTACAAAATTATGGACATATGTTCCCTATGAGCGTGTTTCACCACATGCATACCAGACTGTAGTATTTCAAAATACCACACAACTTCACACTCCTTTAATCCATCAGTATAATGAGAACCTCGATCTTAAAATTAAAGTTGCAAGAAACAAAACCAGCATTCTGTTGACATTTATCTTCCACACTTTATGTCTCCATAGACTGCAAAGTGTATAAAAGTTAACACACTGCCTCTTGACACCAGCAGTGGTGTTGGCCTAACACACTGTGTGTGTGTGTGTGTGTGTGTGTGTGTGTGTGAGCCAGGTGGACTTAGGTAATCTAATTATCTCGATGATGGTGTGTGTGTGTGTGTGTGTGTGTGTGTTGGTTATCCGTCAGACCCCAAGAGAAACTTGAATTCAAGACAATAATGAGGAAGAAAAATTTGATTAGGCTTTGCGAGATGAACTGTTCAAACACATTTGTGTGGGTGTTCAAGAAAACAGCTAAGCAAATTCAAAGAAAATATTGTGGTTCAGTCCGGGAAAAGCATATTGTTCAAGTTACCCATGAATTCGAGCTTTGCATGTTTGATTTATCTCTGTCCTCGACTGTACTTGCAGAAGGGTGAGTAGAGGGGAGAATGAAAAATAACTTTTCAAAAGAATAAAACCTCCAACGAGGTACAGTATAGAGAATCAGATGCTTTGAGTACAGAACATCCTTCTCGCCCATATAAAATCATTTACCATCTTTCATGTCCAATGACAACTTAACATAAAACATTAATGCTGCAAACCTACCTTAAAAGGTTCATTCTACTGTGAATGAAAATCAAAGGAGAAAGTGACTGAATTTAGATAGCCCATCAGAATGAAAAAGGGGGGGCAACTCCCTTCTTACTGTTGAGGTTAGATGCTGTAAATTAAAGTAAATAACTCTAAGCATTGTGTAACCTATTTTAGTCATTAATAACACCTGCAGAAACGCCAACCTTTACAAATTTTAAAACAGGGAATCTTTATTTTGAATCTCAGATGTATGCCTTGCCCACACAGAATGAGGTTCAGGGGAGGTTGTAGCGGTTAACTTGATCGCTTTCCACACTACAATTCAGTTTAAGAACAAAGACAATTGTGAGGCAGCGTGGTGGAATCAGGCTCTCGTCAATTTTTGTGCAAGAAGAGTTATTGGTATCATCTTAAAGCTTGTTCACTTGTCTTTATTTGCATGGGAAAAAATATCCATTTATCTTGAATACAAGTCGAGATATTTGCGAATGAAGGAGGTGGGGGTCACCTGTTTTCAGAGGTAAAATAAGTGAGAAAATGGCCGCCAAAGATTAGCTATTTCATTAGCTTAAGAGTCCGTGGTAACTGAAAATTTACTTTTTTTGTGCCTTTAATCAACATTTTTAAGAAAAATCCACACGCAAATGAGTTGTTTAATGGTCAATAAAGGTGTTAAGCCAAAAAATAAAAATTTGATAGAAATTCACATACCAGCGGAAAAATGCAAGTTTCTTCACTTTGATTATTTTGATGAGAGCCTGATTCCACCACACTGCCTCACAATTAACAAAATACACAATATATAAATAATAGCTGCACATGACATGTATAAAGATAAAATAAAAATTAAAAAACGGACATTCCCATTAAATTTGGGATGTTTGGCAGCTTCCCAGTGTCTAGTATCCCTGTCCCATGAAACAAAGCCACTCTCTCACCATCCACCGCACCAGAAAAGTGGAGAAAGAAAACTCAATGGGTAGTCTTAGCCTATTGAAGGTGTACTGTGTGTCACATACTGACAATGGTGGGCTACTGAGAATGGAAAAAAATACAGGAAAGAGGGAGAATCAGCTAAGATGAATGATAAAACAGCCAAATTTTCTTCATTTTAACCCGATCTGCTGGGGATTTTTAACATGTTAAGGGAAGTTGCAATACATGGAACAAAGAGGGAAAAATGAGGAGATATGGAACTCCTTTTGTGCTAACAGGAATTTTGTGTTAAACAGCTTCATGTTTAACAAAGTCCACTGTATATATAGGGCTTTTAAACCCGTTTAATTCTGTGGATTGAACCAGTGACAACACGCCAGCAGAGATCATGTTGTCCCCACTCCAATAAGAGTCTAAGCCTTTTTAAATAATTTTTTTTAAATAGTAGAGGGTTTTACGGCGCTCGCAACTGCATAAGGTCTTATGAGCGTCAAGGGGTGGGTGTCAACAGAGAAGTCTTTATAGGGAATCAGACTTACTCTGCTCACCTCTCTAGCTTCAACAGCACAAGGTCTGCTTCGACTATCAAGGCACCCCAGAAATAGCGAGTCACATGAGTGTGACAAACATACAAAAGAAGTTGAGGAAAATGACAATAGCAAGGATTAGGAAAGGAAAAGCAGCAGTTCCCTGCTGTAGATCAGGCACAGTTATGAGCATGACATGATGAATCAGCCCATTTACAATTTTACAGTGCTTGAACGAGAAATGTCTCCCCTTTGGGAATGGCCTAAAGACACTACAGTCAGTGGCACTGCCCCGGGGGGTAGAGTCTAAGCTGATTCTGCAAACCTTATATGTAGACACTGAGAAAAGAAAGAACTTTTACTTCTAAAACACAACCAATATGTCATTTACCCTAACAAACAAGTCTTCACTTACAGCAATACCGTCCCCTGCACATATTCTGATTCTTAAAACACGATCAAATCTAATAAGCCCAGGAAAAAAACCCAGAATTTCTTTCCTGTTATTGAGAAGCTTTGATACAGTCAGACCTTCTGTACATGGCATGCACTTTGAATCTTTCATTTTAAAGCAATTAATGGCAAGCATGCACAGGGAGTATTTTTTTAAAAGTAAAGTTATTCCCGCATCCGATCTGGACATTGGGGATTGTCTTGTTTGTGAGACAACTTCCTGGGCCTTCGACATATTGTGGTAGGGTGGCCAGTTCCTTTCCACGTCGCCTTTACTTCCCCAACTCGAAGCCAGGTACCCATTACTGCTGGGTGGACAGGAGGGGGTGAAAGTAAATCTGTGTCCGAACCGAGGCTCGAACCCGGACTTTCCGCTTCAGAGACAAGCGCACTAACCACCACCGCAACCTCACAAGGAGTATAAAATATGTTTATAATAACACACCCAAAGTAGAAAAATGGCATGATAATGACATCATCAAAACGTTGAAAGATCAGCAACACTGATGAGAAGTTTGGAAAATACAAAAGAAAGTGGTAACTAAAAGGCAAAAGAAAACATGAGTCGTCTTGCAGCACGAGAATATCAAGTCATCATCAAAACCTGTGTAGTTCTCAATCTTAAACCATAAGACATGGGTTCAGGGCAACAGAAATAAATCAGTCAAAACTGGAAAATAGTGAAAAGGCAAGGGCAATAATTGAGCAAAAGTGAATTGGGTCGCACTTACATCATCAAGTAGAGCAAACAGACAGATGAGGTAGAATGAGCTGAAAATGGTGAATCACATAGAATGTGTTCATCACTAGAATGATCCTCCTTTCAAATATTTCTTCCCCTTATCACAGTTTCTTTGTTTTTCTGGATCTAAAGATATACTTGATGACTCAACACATCACCGGCCAGCTGTTCGGATGCAGTAAGCCCCAATTTTTTTTTTTTCCTTTTTCATTGCTGTTCCTTAATTTATGATCTTCTCTCTTCTGAAAAATGCTGTTTTCTTGGCTTAGAACATTTGAATAGCTTGCCAACATGGTATTTTAATAGTGTACGTATTACCTACATAATAGTCTACAAGAGGTAAAAAAAAGCTGTTGATCACATCTGAATACCTGTAAAACTATAATACCAAAGACATTATAATTTTTTAAATGACTTATGAGGTAGGAACTCACTCCTCCCAGTAACAGATAATGAAGAGGATTAGAAACACTTTAAAAATTTCCTCACAGAGATGCACACACAGAAGTTTACAACACAAACCCGACTCCTCACAACATTTCAATCTACACACATCATTTTTGCAGACCCTTGGCCTCAACACACAATGTACATGTCTGTTTTTTTCACTCAACATCTGTCATTTATTTATAAGCAAGCTTCTCACACAAACACACACATGATATTAACCCTTTCATTGCCAGTGGGCGTGCATTCTTACTGTCAGCACTAATTGGTGGCTTTTAAGGACAAGCGGGCTAACCCAGATTTAGGAGGTTTCCAGAAATCTTGACCTGCACCAAAATGGGCATTGCCCTAACAATAGGAGAAGTTTGGTTTCATTGGTGTGTATATTTGTTTGGTTATAGAAAAAACTCTCCTTGTCTTTTAAAGAAACTGTACAAGGGGCAAAAACTTTACCTTCGATTTTCTCAAAACAGCATTTTTCAGGACAGCCTCCTTGTGCTTAAAAGTGACCAATTTTAAACTAAGCTCACTAGCCAAGACAGCAGTCTCATGTCCCGGTGTCAGAGGACTCACTGTCCAGATCTAGCCCAATGACACATTAACACCCTGTGTACCCTGTGTCTTCGCCAGCCTCACTTTCCTCATTCCCTATTAATTCCCAATCTTCTCCATAATTTGAAATTTGCTGCCTTTTAAAAGTCATTTTGGTATTTACATTTCATCTAGACTAGACCTGTGTTTGTCCATTGCCTGCAAGCCTGGCAGTAAACTGTTACTAGCAAATTTGATACCAATTTGTGCATTTTTCACTCATGCATACGAATCCATATTATATTATGCTTGTGGCTAAATCTTCATACAGAAAAATTAGACCCAGATGATTAGGGGGACATACATGTAACATCTTATAAGCTACCAAGAACAGCAAACTTTGCCAACATCTGTGGCGTCCATGGTACGGCACAAAACTAAAAAGAAGGCATTTTCATGAAAACAGACATTTTACAGAAGCCCAACTATCTACACTAATATTTTCAAATATTGTCATAGCACTCTTTATACCATGTCTCACTTTCAGTTCTTCCAAAATATGATAACAATTTCCTTACAACTTCTTTGGCACTTACATTGCACTACCTCTCACCACATACACATATCTCAAAATGTACAGCCCCATCACAGATTATTTATTATTTATAAATTTCACTAGTGGGATCACACTACTCAAGTGCACACCTCACACACTGACATGTGTTTTCCCTTTACGAAAAGCTTCCCTCACACAGCAGACAGCAAGAAACTACTTTCCACTCCTTCTGGCACCAGTAAAGCCGAAGGACTAGCACCTTAGTAAAAGAGTTTCCATAACCTAGAGACATGCTGCACCAACAGAATAATTCTATCAGGCTTTTCAGCCCTTCTATTTGAATTGCACCAAAAAAAAATTTGAAGGTCTGCTTCTTCCACTAACATACCATGTAATAGTCAGTCTAAAACTTGGATTCAGACCAATGTTTTTTTCTTCACATTTACCATCTCTGGTTGAAATGCAAAAGGTTATGAAATTTCCAAATCATGAATCATTTCTGAGCCTAAATGTTCCTTTTAGCTTTTCTGAAAACAAATTGTAATTGCTTGATATATGCCAGCATTATTCTTAGTGACTTGAACACAGGCCCATTCTTTTTCTTTTGTTTAGACCAAATGACACCTGAGCATGCAACATGCTGAACAGATTAACCAAACCTCATGCAGACCACGCAAAACAGCATTGTTAGCATGACATACATTAAGTAAGACCACTTTTAAATCAATAATTGCTGGTCAGAGTAATGTATAACTCCCCAATTTGAACCACTTTGACCATGTGCCCCACATCCAAGGTCACCCTGGGTAGCGGCTATGTCTCACAAAGACAGAAAACAGCTGGATGTCATCATCATTATGCATGTAGACAGACAAGGAGAGTTATACTTTACTATTTCCCAGATGCTCACTCAAAGGCTTGCAAAAATCTAACATCACAGAGCTATTCTGTCTTTATTATGAAGACTCCGGGTATCTGTGGTTTCTCCTCACTCGGGACACATGAGCCTCATAGAGCATTTGGTTTACTGAGTAGTAGTGTGGATTTTCCGATACTCCGAGCTCTGGTTCATACGGCCCTGAGGGAATCTGTTGGAAGTGAAACTGTTCTTGTGACTGATCTTGCATGAAATGCTCTCCTGGATGGTTTGGTGATGGGGGTGGAAACCCAGACATAGGCTGACACAAAGACTGGCTGTCCTGAAACGACTCCATCGGCAACTGATGGCTTAAGGGAGCGGAGGTCGGAGGGAAATGGTGTGCTCGGTCAAAACCAGAGTTCTGCTCTGAAGACATCGACATATCAGTCATGTTGGAATTCAAGAAAGGAGAATATGGCTCACTGAATGAGCGCATGAACTGAGGAAGAACGTTGGATGTATGATGTCTTTGAGAGCTTCCACTTTGTGTTGAAATATCTTGCTCATCTATGGTGGGCAGTCGCTCTGAATAAGCCATCGGACTGTTTAGATCTAACTGTCTAGCTGCCGGACCACACTGGACTGTGGGAGGAATGAGCGGAGCCCCAACGTTCCCAGGTGAGGCCATGAAGTCATGCGGTGTGCCACACCCAGCTGTGAGATCACAAAAGCCAGCTAAAGGACTCAAGAGATGCTCTGAGTTCTGAAACAAAAATATAGCATTGGAAGATTATGTCAGTGTTTTTGAGAATTAATTGGAAAGCTTCTTTGCACTTTTCTACTCATTTCATTTTGAAAAAGAAAAATGTATGCTTTCCATTCACTGTAATTCTGCATGCCTATGCTTACAACTGTGGCTCTATACCAGCATATTCATTTTTTTTAACAATCTCCTTTACCTCCATTATTTTTTTATTTGGATCCTTTGACAGAATGGGGAAAAAAAGTTCCAGGACAAAGACAGACTCGTATAAAATACAATCACTAGCAACTACAGAGCTTTGCAAATTTCCTATCCTGATTTCACACAACTGACAGGAACTTTGCTTCTCTACAAAAATAAACCCAAGAATTGCTAAAACCGAAGCAATCACATTAATTCATTAATCAGATTTTAACTGGAAATCCTCCCAACCTTTTACAAACCTGCAACAATGTATGGAACCAGTATCAAAGAATAAAACGGACACAATAAAAACTTGCTCCATCCCCTGAGAAACTTTTAAGTGCATTTTTTTTTAACACACCAACTAAGGTGAAGCTAAATGCAATTCAGCCCTGCAAACACAATGGAACATTTGCAGCTCTCCATTTAAGACATTAAACTCCTCTCCTCTGTTCTTATCTTTCACATAACACGGTGTATGAGTCACTGTAAAAAGAAAAACAGAAACTAAATTCATGCAAATTCTGTAACTTTTGAAATACAACTTTACTAAATCTGTTGTATCAATGTTTAAACGGAATTCTATTTAATGATAATAGAAAAATTAGAAAAATGCCTTGTCACATACCTGAGCACTGATACCAGGTGTCTGGCCCCTGGGGGTAATAAACAATGAACCATTAATACAATCATTAAAATGATGACCATACAGCATATTCTCCCGTGATCAGTAACAATAACAGTACAAATATCAGTTCCATTGAATCAGAACTATTGGAGACGTTGGTAAAAAGAGCAATAGAATCAAGTGCAGTGATAATCGATAATCAATGATGTGGTCATGGCATCCGTTCATGATTCTCAAAGTACACAATGTTCACTTTCTCCATAATGCAATGCATTACATTAGAACATTTTAAAAAATGTTTATGGCAGGAGGAGGGGCACGCAGAGAAAAGAGGGGGAAATGGGGGTTTCTTACCCAAACTTTCTGACTTTAATACATAGAGTTACCCCTTTTTTAAACTAGAGTCCATACGAGGTCACGTGACCGGAAACATTTGAGTTTGTAGGCGGCCATTTTTAATGTGGCTAAAAAGTTTGTTTACATGTGAGTGGGCGTGTCTGATTCTAACGTTGTGTTTTGATCCATAGTGATTATCTTAAAGATGCAAGCATGTGAAACCCCTAGTCCCTTTCTGGATTAACGTCTTATTGGGTCCAATCGAGTATACGTTATATACACGGCCGCTTGGAGCTGTGATTAGAAAGCACAGTTGAGTATGAATTATCACATGTAGTATATGTAGACCTATGCAGATGATACTCAGTTGTACAAATCTGTTCCACCATCAGATGTTAAAACCTTGCCTACCACCAAGGGTATGTGCATTGATCATGTCAAGAACTGGATGATTGATAATAATCTCCAGCTTAATGAAAATAATATGGAAATTCTTTTATGTAATCCAAAGAAGCGCCATATCCCCATAGACGTCTAGATCTAGATCTAGATCATGTTTGTACGATGTAGTGTAAGCGTGTGCGTGTGATAAGCAAGTAGGTGTGTGTGTATGTGTGTGTGTGTGTGTGTGTGTGTGTGTGAGTGGGTGTGTGTTTGTCTGTGTGTGCGTGTGCGTGTGTGTGTGTGTGCATTTGTGAATATTGTTCATACATGCATTTATGTGTAGATTCCAAAGCACCTAGAGCTGTGTTTGTGGGCGCAATAGAAATGATCTGCATTGTTATTATTATTATTATTATTATTATTATTATAGCTACAGTCTCAGAGACTTTCTTTAACATTAACAATAAAACGAGACCAGAAGGGATGGTGCAACACTGCTACATTTATCAGTGTACTAACAGAGCCTCCAAATGAACCCCTCTTTCATTTCACTGGTCAGAATAAGATTTATTAGAATTTTGACAGATTAGATCCAGATCTACGTTTTGAAGAAAATATTCGAAAAGATTAAGAACCTGGTCTGATCAAAGCCTACCTTTCAGTTAAAATTGATATCAGATCTAACCACTGCAATTTTGCCTTCTTACTTAAACATCACAAAATCCAAGCCAGATCTACTAATTTCACTCACTTGCACTGACTCACTGACGTAAGATATATAAACATAGTAGTATAACAGTATCATCAATCATAATTATTTTTATGGGATGATGATGATGATGGGTGGGAGCAGCCAAAGATAGGATCGTGTCTAAAATGTTTGAAGTAATGTATAGGATATAATAAATATAATCTAAGCTTATTAGTGACTAAGGAAACCATAGTCAGAGTGCACTTGGTGCTGAGCTTGCTATATGCACAGCATGCATTTGATATAATGTGTTTGGCACATTTTTTATTGCACGAATGAATTTAAACAACTCATCACTGCTTCTGTCAGGCCATTCAATGATGTCTGTTTTCTTTTATTACACCATCTATTTTTAGCACATAATATGTCTTATAGACACAAATAGTCACTCCGAGTTTCTTTTTTTAAATATAAAGAGCCATCAGTAAGGTTTTGGGCCATGTGAAGTTAAGGTTGACTAGCAGCTAGCTAGATCTTTTTCACAAAGGGCAGGGAATTTCTTTATCAAACAGTGTACTTTTTAATGTTTTGTTTTATTGAATGTTGTCCAAATACACCTCACTGAAGGTTTTTGTTTCAGTTTTCACTACACGGTGTAGAAAAGCAATTGCCCAGCCTACAAAACAACATTAAGTTCACTTTTTTAATCTTTAGTTTAGTGAGTCCAAAGTTGTCACAGTTGTTTTACTAAAGTCCAAAATTAGACTTACTTAAAACAGCAATATTAGGAGCTTTAGTTTAAGTGCTGTATATGGTCTACTTTAGTTCTTAAAATCAATATAAACCAAAGTTTAATACCGACATAAGAAAACACTACTTATTTAGTATACTTTGAAAAAAAAGTGAACATAAGAATGAAAAATACAGTTTCCTGTTCAAATGTCATAAGATTTTTAAACACCAGTACATGTATTCATCATTTAATTGTTTGGCTGAATTTGCTTTATCAAGAGCTTCATTGCCTTCCTACACCTAATGGCTGAAAAGCTCTGGAATTTTTTTCCTGTTGCTCGTCCTGATCTAATGTAATGCCGAACTCATATATTTGAGGGGGGTTGGTATTGGGATTTGGGAGGAGAGAGAGGGTGGGGTGGTTATGGGCGGTTCCTATGACACCCACATCTTTTCATACTTCTTTTCCTGAATTCAGTGAATAAGAAATAAACCATCTCGTTGATAAAGTGCTGATGAAGAAATAAAGGTGTTTTTTTGTTCTTTTTTTTTAAAGCCTATATCTCTATCTCTATCTACTTAATACATTTATTTGTAGATCTAGTTACAAAAAGAACACTGTATTATTGCTATTTAGTAATTTAGATATAGTACGCCACGGCCCCCATGTAAAAAAAAAATCAACAAAATCCTAGCCTCGCCTATCGTGTATGAGACACAGAGAGAAAACATGCCTAGCCCATTGCTTTAGCATGAACTCCACACAACTTGCCACAAAAAACATGGTGGATGCCGCTGCCTAATGTGGCCATCGCGCAGCAAGGCGATAGAGGGGCGTACTGTATCTAGTGCCTATAGTGTACATCTATGCTTTAATATCTCTTTATTTTTTTATATTTTTCTTTTGGTAAGTGTTTTACGGCGCTCGCAACTGCATAAGGCCATAAGAGCGTGCGGGACACATGAAACATTTTCAGTTGGAAGGAAATTTTTTTAATTTTGCCCGGGTGGCGGCCGAAGCCTACTCATATTGATTTTAGACCACCAAGGGATCTTTAACGTGCGCAACTTGCACACGAGCCCTCCGAGATTTTTCGCCCTTGTCCGAGAAGGCTAGCTGTAGATCTTTCCTACCAGAAGATCAGGGGTGTGGCAGAAAGACAGCAGTAAGAAGGAGCCAATGAGTAGCAGTAGAAAGGCTGCAGAAAGAGTCAGGAACCCAAAGGAGGGGGCAAAGGAGGTGAGGGGGTGGGGGCAGAAAGAGGAGATGAAAGCAGACTACAGAGCATTGCTAGAGAGCAGGAAAGGAGGTGAAAGGAGACAATTTTAGAGAAGAAAATGTTTTGGTCGCTACCCGGATTTGAACCCGGGACCTTTGAATGAGAGGCCAACATCTTAACCTCAAGGCCATGAGAGCCACCCTTTTATATCTATTTGATTACTTCAAACTAGACTTTTGTACAAAGATCCACCAGCATTGCTTCTGAATGTATTCTAATTGATTTTAACCCTTTTGCTGCCTATTTTTTAAAAATATATAAATATAATTTCTTTCTCGTATAAGATTGGATCCATGGCCCATGGACATTACTCAGTTCATAAGTTTCATGTGGCAGTATCAAATTGTTATTTTTTCTTTTAATTTCTTAACCCCAGAAAGCACCTGTCAGAGACTTTAAATTTACACTGCAGTCTTCAGAGAATGAGGTGCAGATGTTCAGAAGCATGCACTTTCCAGAAAGATTGAAATGAAAGTATTATCCATCTTGGAATGGAAAAGCTTTTCAGTCATGAATTCTTTTCTTGCCAATATGATCTAAAGTATAAAGATTTGCAATCACACTCTCTGTATGTGAATAAGCAAGGCATAAAAGAAACCCCATTTTCAGATCATTTTTATACTAAAAGCAAATTTGTATACACTGTTTATGAATCATGGCAATGATACCGGTCATATATATATAGTTCATTTCTGAAAAGTATGATGGCTCGGTTACATAGAACAGGTAATCACTCTTAAAACATAAACCAAATCTTCAGCAAAATAGAACGAGAAGATGTTTAGTTAAGATATCAAAACGGTCTTGGGAGATTGTCACTTTCACAGACAGATATCAAGGTCAGTCCCACATCAAAGTTAAGGCTGAAAAAGAGTTAAGCACTTGTCATAAAGATTATATTAAAAAGAATATTTCCAGCTGTACACCTCATCAGTCTGAAAACATTAAAATAATTACATAGAGCCATTTTATTTTCATCAAATCTAAGCAAAGCACTTCTAAATCAAATCCACAAACTCAAATTAATTAACTGAAAGTGCCATATCTACAAACTATACATCACTTTTTAAAGTGTATACTTACTCAATGCGAAGAGAATTAATACGTTTTGAGATAGGAAGGCAATCATCTCCATCTTCCAAGTCATCACGGCTTCTCTTGCGATTTACACTGAAGACAAGAAAACAGAGACAGATAAAGCATACAATACAAGAAAATTGTGAGAATCTAATCTTTAAAAAATAGATTGGACTAGATAAAAGTTGGTAAGATTAAAAAGAAGATTGCCACATTTCAAAACTACTATTATAATAGAATAAAGAAAAAAGATTCCACTGAGCAAAAGAAGTCATATAAGGGACAAACTGCTTTGACCTTGCTGAGGTCAACCCTGGCTGAGTGGGACAAAGCATTCTAGCAAACACACTGAGATACTCAGTAGAAAATAAACTTCCACACTCAGAAATCAGACAGGTGAATTCTGTATGTGGTAGGGAAGAGCCTAAATACTGCACTAAATAAAACCAGTGCAAAAATGCAAACAGAGACAACATGAGAGCGCTACATTAAGTTCAAGCATGCCAGGATCCCTAATTGCAGTTGCTGGCAACCAATAACGGCAATTTTCCATATCTGCACGTTTTATTCACATTTGCTAAAGATTCAGGTAATAAAGTGATAGTAGTTAAGGTGTAGATTAAGATAGGGTTAGGGTAATCCTAACTCCACCGTAGCCCTTACCTTATTACCTGTATATCTAGCAAATGTGAATTAAATTTGAAGATCTGGAAGATTGCCCAATTCGCATTGTCATTGCAGACAACAAATTTACATAAATAAACATGCCTTCTTTCAAAGAAATTCAATGTTTCTTTATCTTCTTTCAAAACTATTCATTACTGGCAGTAGATAGCAGGGATTAATTTGCGGCATGAGTATTCTCACACTCCACATATTATTCTCACTCTGGTTTTTCATCTCCGGCCTTTTTATTTTGTTTAGGTTTAGAGAGTCTACTACAGAAATTATGAATACAGTGGAACTCGGTTACAACGAGAACTCGGATTCAACGAGATGAGATAGATCCCCCGGTTTTTTTCTTCTTTAAAATCAATAAAAAATAACCCGGTTTCAACTAGCACTTAAATCAGCAAGCTCGGATTCAACAAGGTCACTTCCAGGGGGTGAACAGCCCCCACATACGTGGCTTCGCTCACTTTTCTCCCAGAACGAACTTTATCTATTCCCGGAAACCATCCATTGCACCTGCATTGTGAACCATTATTCACTTAGCCGACTGCATGCGACCAATCAGCGGCCTCTTTTCATACCAAAACATGCATTATTGGCACACGCATGTGTCTACTCTGGCGTGTGTCAGGGTCGGAGGGCGGCATGCACACGTGTGGCTGTGTACGAGTGTCGGGGGGGGGGGGGGGGGGCGCACTAGCGGTCCGGGGGTTGAACGTCACAGATACAAACGTGTCACAGTCTTTCCCCCCCCCCCCCTCGGCAACTGATCATGATTGCAATGATAAGCTAGTCTTGACGTATATCTACGTACTGAATTGTGCGCTGGTCTATGGAATCAAAAGTTGCCGTATGCTAGGCTCTACACAGCAACACAACTTTTGGGTAAAAATCGAGATGACACAGGCGTGTGCATTTGAACGAATCGGTCTTTTTTTTTACACAGCTCATAATATGCAGGCATTTCAGGCACTACTTGTGACTTCTCTTTATACATTACTTGCTCAACGCCTGTAATTATCGACACAAAACCTTGTGTTTGCTATGACGAACACTCGGATTCAACGAGATTTTAGGTCAGGCCCGGAGACCTTGTTGAATCCGACTTCCACTGTACCAGTCATTTTGTCACACGGTCATTTCGTCCACCGGTGCAGTCAAGACGTCATTGTCATCTCGTCACACCCCAAATCCACAAGGTTGAATGGAGACGGTCGTTTCGTAGCACATTTGCAAACATCAAACGCACATTGTCATGGCAATTGCAAATCACGATTTTTGGGGTAGGGTTGGGGCTGAGCGAGTCGCCGTGCCTACCTGATCAGCTACATCGTTCATAAATAGGCTACGTATTGACAATATATTGAAATCAGATCAACGAAGTTTTTAGGTACTATTGATGAAAGGGGTGATTGGCAAAACCATATTATTAGTTCTGTTAAAAATAAATAAGCTAATAGAAGTGTACGGTATGTACTGCGATTTTGATTTTAAAAAGCTAGATCCTTACTTTCAAACATAAAGCCTTAATTGACTCTTTACAAGACATTGTTTTTACCTTATTTAAACAATATGTTCAACTATGGAACACTTTAGACAAAGATTTAATTTACATTAATAATTTATATAACTTAAGAAAAAGCTTTAGGATGATCCTCCAAAACTCTACTAGCATAACAATTTTGGAGAGATAGGCTTATATATAAGCGAAGTCATTTCGTCATTAAGTACTGCTAGCCTGCCAGCTTTTATTTTTAGGTAGTGTTAATTGCGACAGAGTGATGCTGTGACAACTAACGCGGCGTTAATTGCGACAGAGTGAGCCTGTGACAAAAAAAAAAAAGAATTCAAAAAGAAAAAAGAAGCGAACAAACACACACACACATGCACTCACACACCCACACTGTAATACAAATACACACGCACACACACACACACACTCACACACCAAACTAACAGACAAATAAACAAGACAGTTGCTGCTCTTTTGTTGTTGCCCCTAGTGGTTTTTGTTGCTGTTGTATGCAGCTGATGTTTTGTTGTAATATTTGTTGTCTCAACTCTACTGTACAGAAAGTCTTTGTGGATTTTTGCTACACTCTTTAAGTCAGCCTTCTCAACTGTTTCAGTTTCAGATGATTTCTTCCTAAAGGCAACAAAATTTTCATCTTTAAAAATATAGCAAAAGCTTTATCAAATTCGTCTTAAGATTTGAATGCATGCTCTAGAAAGCTTTCCATTCACCTTGTCATGCAAAGACTAGCCTAGATAACTAGGGCCACGCTGGGAGAAGTGGAAATGGTAGATGATGTTAGACCAAGATCTAGATCTAATCATCAACGCAAAAGAGCTCTGTGTTCACCCTGTTGCGTTAGTTGTCACAGCGTCACTCTGTCGCAATTAACACTACCTTATTTTTTTTATTTCAGCCTAGCCTGTAATTATATGGAAGTGATTATTCTCATCCCGGGTGAGAATAACCTATGTCTCGCTATTTTCACCCCCTCTCTTGTTTTACCGGAAATGATCCAAAAGGGATCAGGACTGAAGTTACCTGGGTTGATGCTCCACAGGATTGTATTGGTGTCCGAATAAACCGTCGCCTATCACACGAAAGGGCGTATCCCTGTTTTCTTACTTTTTCAGGAGAGCAATTTAAAGATTTTTCAGACTTTGGTTGCTTCATCATTTTCCCTTGTCATTTTAGTAAATTGCATCCCACCATCGGGATATTTCGATATTGTGGGCATGATAAGACATCAAACAATGAGCAAGATTAGTTTTGCACTGTTTTTTATCATTTCACTGCGAAAATGAGCCATCTGTTGGCATACGCCCTTTCGTGTGATTGTTCAATTTTCCGTCATGTCCAAAATCAGTGTATACGCCCATGTATACGCCCTGTGTTTGAGTGTCCACACAATTAATTTCAGTATTCAGACTGACCAGTAGAGGACAAAATTCCTCCAAGACATCACTCCTCACTCCCCCATCCACCCGCCAAATCTTCCCCTTTCTCATCTTCTCCCCATATCTTTCTATCTGTCTGTCTGTCAGTCTGTCTGTCTGTCTGTCTGGAAAGTCTCCTCTTGTAGAACAAAGCATCCTCTTGTGAAATTGGCAAGTATATGACCAGCTGGAGATCAATTTTCCCAGCCAAAATGCTGTGGTCAGCTTGAACCATCTTCTTGCAACCAAGTTGTCGCACCTTTTGTTTTTCTGCATTGTGCCTGTTGTAAATTTCCCTGAGTTCATTTTTCTGTGCTTCGTCCCCTTTTCAGAGAGAGTTGCAGAGTGAGCATCGGTCCTTTTTAGGACTATGAAAGGCCAGGTTTTTCATCTTGAACACTCGTCTGTATGTGTGAAAACTTGGGATGTCATTGCATGGATTTTTTTTCATGAACATATCGCACATTTTGGACAATGTGAGGGCTGGGTTGAGATACTCTTTGCTGGCAGAGGCCCTACAGTAGTGCGATTCCACGTGTGGAAATCTGTCAATGTTTTGACTGGTTATCTCCCTGTTTTGTTCTTCTCTTGTCTCCATCTGCTCCGATTGCCTGCCCCCTCGCTTGTCTTCTTCTACAATCCTGGTCTCCGTAATTTTTGATAAAACAACTCTGGCACATTTCTCTGAAATACCCAAGGTTGCAAGGAATGTGTTCCCTTACACTTTCAAGCGCTTTCCATTGACTGTGATGTAATAAGCATGCCTTTTGCTGCGTCGAGAGTTTGGTTTCCTGACCTTGGGCTCTGTCGTCTAAATATGCCAGGCAAACAACTCTCGCTGCTTCTGCAGATCAGCCAGTTTATAAAAGTCCTGAAATATCCATCTCCTATCCTTTCCTGAGATTCTAGAACACTGACGGCCAGCTCTCGTAAATTCCATTCCAACGCAGCCCTTTCTCATCATTCGAGCTGGAACAACCTTTTTCGTGTCTGCGCTCAAGAACTCTTCGCCAGATTGTCGCTTTCTTTTTGCATTGTTCTTCATGTTGATTCTCTTCCGTTTCTTTGGAGGCGCCTGGCAGGCTGACCCTTAAACTTCAAAGGATTTTGGTAGCCGTTCGTTGCTACTCAGGGTCTCATCGGTCTCAAAATTATTGTGCGCTATGGATTCAGCAATTGTTGATTGCCCTGTCTTTCCATGTTGACTACAAAATACTGGAACCTCTAGGAAATGATCATAGCAGAGGAGAACTTAACATCTGGTGCATGCTGCAAATACTTCAGTTTTGCTTTTTTTTTTACTTCACTTTTGCCTGGTTTGAAAGATGGGTCCGTGTCCGAATCATCGAAGTCACCCAGGCCAAGAGACGTGTCTTCATTCTCAGCCTCGTGTTGATCATGAAATTCAATTGTCATTGTAGGCCTACATTTCTTAAGTTTAGCTAACGGAATGTCATCGGCCAAAGTCGGAGTCACTTTCATTGAAATGCGAACTTGCCATTCTGGGCCTAAAACACAAGAAAAATCCCCCATAGTCGAGTACAAGCTAAAGAACAATTTAGGTTGACTTTCTTGTGCCCGCGTGTGTGTGTGAAATATGAAGATTTAGGGGCTACTTACATGGCTCACCAAGTAGACCTGTCTTTGGATCAATATAACAGTCTAAGTCCTGATGTTTTTATCCCTTCAGTCAGTAGCACTGCCCTTGAGGGGGGGGGGGGGGGGGTCTAAATAGCGTTGTCTTCTAGTTAATGAGTGTAGAATAATACGCTAATGGAAAAACGTATATATATATATATATATATATATATATAGCTGAGCAATATTCATGTGTATCGTTGGACAAAAAGTAGATCTGATTTAAATTTGATCAAACAAAATTTTGCTTTTTCTAATGGTTTCCAATCGTCAGTAGGCAAGCAGATCACGTTGTGCATGACAGTAAGCTGCAAGCAACAGTAACCAAGTGTAGGCTAACAACACAATAAGGCCCGCCTCATTTTCACTATTGCATAAGCAAGATTCGCTGCAACACAGCGCGTGTACTCTGTGTTGTGTATCAGGTTATTGCATCATTAGAAGGGGGGCCTAGCATTACTATGATATTACGTTATAATACGGCCTTGGCCTATGCCAGAAAAAAAGACAAAAGTGTTCCAAGGTATATGTCCTTTCGTGCGAATAGAATTGATAAAACGTTGTATCAATTTTTTACACACGAAACAGCGTAAGGCTGTGTACCCAGTTTCGTCTGATTCGGTGGCGCTGAGTGTTACTTACGCCCTTTTGGGGTTTTTACTGCTAGTACTGTTATCTTAAAGCTAGGGATACACCGTTTCGTGTGAACATAGATCTGAGGCAGCGCTATCAACTAGTAGTAACAACTCAAAACTGCCACAATCTGGAATACGCCCTTTCGTGTGATAGGCGACGAAACATATATCTAGATCTAGTCATAGTCAGGGTTGTCAGATTGGAGCCAAATCCCAGAAATTTGGCTTTTTGGATCGCGTCTTGCCTGGAGAATTTCATTTGACTCTATGGCTATTTTTTTTACTCCAAACCTCAAATGTTTAAGAAAAAGGGGACAGAAGAGGCAAAAAGAATAGAAAAAAAATGAAAATGAAGGAAAGAGCTTGGATTAAAAATGTTTTTAAACTAGTTAACACGATTTAACGCCCCACTTGCCCATTTGGTGTGAATAATTTACAACCCTTCTACCCTTGTGCAAGAGCATTTCGACCCTTGAAAGCAAAAAAGTCTTAAGTGCCAAAATAAACAAATCAGTAATCAGACATATAAACATATGGCTGAATGGAGCTTGATGTCACCTTTCAAAGCAATTTTGTCTATCTCACTACTCAAACTTGTTCAACAATTATAGGAAAATCACATTTTGTCTACCTCAAGACTCAAACTTGTTCAAAATTTTCATATACATGATTCTCTCCAAACAGCAGTCATGGCACTTCAGACATTTTTGCTTTCACGGGTCGATTTATTGTCTCATGCTTATGTCTCGTTATGTTTGTACTCGCTTTCTCCTGTTCCTTGCACCACGCAGACCTAATTTATTGTTTGAAGGCAGAGAGTGAGAGGTCTGCCATCGTTAAGTGTGTAAACAAGGAAAGGTCCGGCCAGTCCCACATCCCGCTCAGTAGCATCAATAGTGAGCCTTTTTTTTAATGGAGAGGCGAAAAATGTTTTTACATTATTATTCGTTCCCAACCACTCCCTCTCACTCTCACACTCCCTCTCACTCTCCCTCTCACTCTCTCTCTCACTCTCTCTCTCTCTCTCACACACACTCTCTCACACTCGCTCTCTCTCACACTCTCTCTCACACACACTCTCTTTCTCTCATACTCTCTCTCTCACACACACACTCTCTCTCACTCTCTCACACACTCTCTCTCTCACTCTCTCTCACACAATCTCTCTCACACACTCTCTCTCACTCACTCTCTCACACTCTCCCTCTCTCACACACTCTCTCTCACACTCACTCTTTCTCTCTCACTCTCTCACACACACACACAAAATTTACAAACACATGCATGCATTCAAATAAATACAGCAACACAATAAAAAACTGATAACAAATGATGACTGGTTTTCAATAAAACATCAATGTTAGACATCTGTCTGTCAGTCTTTCTCTCTTTCTCTCTCACACAGACACACATACACATTTACAAAGACATGGCATGCATTCAAATGAAAACAGCAACACCAAAAAACTGATTTAACAAGGTAACGGGTTTACAATAAAACATCAATGTAAGGTATATTTCTTTGGCCACCTCTATTTTCACCCGGGGTGAGAATAGTGCAGGCGAGTCTTTTGGCTATTCTCACCCGGTGCGCGTTCACCGTTATAGCCTAGATCTAGGCCAACAAATTTTGCGTTCACCCTAAACCACAGAATTCTACACTGTGACAACAGAAAAAATTGTAGAATTCTGTGCCGTGAACAAACGTTCCATTACAACTGTAGCCTACTAAAAGCGTACAATTTTGTCTGTGGGCAGTGGAGAGAGAGAGAGAGAGAGAGAGAAAGAGAGAGAGAGAGGAGTAGCGCGAGAACTTCCAGTCAAAACAAAATGGCGACCCGCGTAGTTCGGCTCGATTCGAAAAGTTAAATAGCCGTAGCATCTTTGTACATGTAGACAACCAAATTAATTTACTTTTGATCGTCCACACCATTAGACAGTATTTGAACACAGAAAGAGACAGAGAGAGAGAGAGAGAGGGGAGGAGTAGATCTTGTGAGAACTTCCGGGCAAAACAAAATGGCGACCCGCGTAGTTCTGCTCGATTCGAACAGTGAAATAGCCATAGCATCTTTGAAGACGATCAAATTAGCTTACTTTTGTGCTATAACGTAATTTTTTCTTGGCTTTTATCAATTTGATCATCCACATCGATAGAAAGTATTCCGAAATAAGGAAAAACAGGTCTTGTTTCAAATCGGGTGAGAATAGCCTACGGTCGCAAGTCTCACCCGGGGTGAGAGGTCGATCGTATTTCTATTCTCACCCCGGATGAGAATAGCCACTTCCTATTTCTTTCTCTCTCTCTCTCTCTCTCTCTCTCACACACATACACATGTCATGTACACCCCCCCCCCCCCTACACACACATAAAAACACTCAAACACTCTCTCTCTCTTTCACACACACACACATCCACCCCCCCCCCCCTCACACACACACACACACACAAATGAATACAGCAACATCAGTAAACTGACTAAATCAATGCAGTACTTTCTTTCTCACTCTCTTGACCCCTAATGCCGCGGTAAGGGCACTGACAATACCTTGTACCGCAGCGCGGCAGTATTGCCGCGCTGCGGTACATAGTATTCTCATAGTGCCCTTACCGCGGCATTTTCTCTCAACACGTGAAAAATGCACGAATTGCGACACATCATATTGCATAATCATATGTAGAATGTAGATATCTAATTCTAGCCATTTATCCACCAAATAAATAACAATAGACATCATTAAGTATGATTAAGAAAACTCCCTTTTAATATGTGATAAAAAGTGCAAACACACTTGAAAACTAAAAAAGCGAAGTCAAAATTGGTACGACGGCAAAATTTCGATCCCTGGTTCGAAATTGTCACGTGTTCGCAATGGACCAGGAAAGAAAGAAACGGACCAGCGCAACGGACACCACTGCAGTTTTAAATTTACAATAACAAAAGTAGTAGGTGAGAAATTGCCAAAACTAGACCAACTGCCGCGCTGGGGGCACCGCCACGGTCTGGCACATCGACTCTAGTCTTACTGAAAGTTACTGCCATTACACTGTACAGTGTGGGGCCTTACCCGATTGATGAAGCCATGTTATGAAATTGATGAAGCGTGGTTTCTGAGCATGTAAAACTATCAAACGTTAGTTTACGTAAAACAGAACTGGGGGATATCACACACGCTACAGACAATACAATGTCTTATTACACTGCTACTGATCTTGATCTACACATGAGTGAAATAAAATAGTGCATGATTCGCTGTTTTTGTTGCTCTACTCCAACTTCCGAGCCAGGACAATAATAAATTTACAGTAGCCTCCCTTAAATTGTTTTCATAAAATGAAAGTAGCTTCCCTTGACAAATAAAAGCTAAAAAGATAAATCCTAACAAGTTCGTCTTACAAGAGCAGAAAATAATTCCAACTAGTGAAGTACTTTATTGTGGTACATTTTTGGCTGTTTGATCAAAATCTTTTTTTATTGTGTTAGATTATTACAAAAACATATAATTTAGTTTAAAAATCTAAATGTAAGCTTTTTAGTGTCATTTATAAAAGTTAAAAATGCAAGATTGCTTCGTGCATTAGACCTTTCAAGGCTTCGTTTGTACTTTGTACTTTTGCAATTACTTTTTCAAAATGGCGTCGGAAGAAAGCGAAGGTCCAGGCCCAGTGATTCTGCATTGGTAAGTTTCTTTGTCTGAATTGCTTGTCAATTAGCGGTACGTTTTGTTTTGAACTTATTTTGGGTGAATTGCCTTGTGCTCCACCCTATTCATTTAGGTGTTGAAATTGGTGGTAGAGGCAGAGGTGTGATTGTGATGATCAGTCCATCAGTCCGTCGGAGTGCTGAAGAAACAGCTCCAGCAGTGCCAGGTCAGTACAGATGATAGGCGATTTTGTACTTTCGTTCGTTAAAGTCAAGCAGGGGGGCAATATGGAGGTGGGGGGGTTCAGGGGGGCATGCCCCCCTGAATTTTATCCTAATTTGATGTTTTGCAGTTAGGTTGCATCCCTGCTCTTTGTGTAGCCTAATTCAAATAGTATTTGGTCTTCAAGACTTCTGGATTTCTTCTCTGAATGTAAACAAATGGATCGTGGACTTTAACGAACGGAACTACAAGATCACCCAGATGATACAGTAAGATTAAGTACTTTACCGGATCACCAGTCGGAACTACTTTCGCTATGCGTCCCTGGTGCCTAGTGGCCGGCTATTCTTCCTTCCCGAGCTCCCCTACTACTCACTCTCCTAGTCTTACTCGTACTCAGTCACTGACTCAGTCAGTTTCTAGTTTTCAACGACACGTCCTCACCCTTCGACAGCCCACAATTGACTGACGTCTCATACCGGGTTTTTCAGTCATCATGACCATGCTACCGTGCCCTTTGACCCATGACCCTGACACCTTGAGGCTAATTGCTCGATCTAATCATGTGGTCCACTATTCTTATTTAATTCGCAGTGGCTACGTTCACGGCGCCGTGAACGTAGTCTGCAGGCTAGGTTCACGGCGCCGTGAATGTAGTTGGCAGGCTACGTTCACGGCGCCCTGAATGCAGTTTGCAGGCGCTGTTGTTGAGGCTACGTTCACAGCACTCAAGCTTCGTTTAGACGGAGCGTCCACTGCCGGTTGAAAATGTGGTAGCATCATTGAGTAGCATCAATATAAAAAGAGTGGAGAATTAAGTCATGAAGTAAAATTTTTAAAATTCTTTTGTTGCTATGGTTATGCCTGCCATTGGAATGTCATATAAAATGCACTAGCAATGCCAATCGCCCGCTGCGCCTTGTGCCGGAAATCGGCCTCCGCGCGAGGGGTATTTTTTGGGCCGCTCGGAATCAGAAGTGATTCTCTTCTAAGTTTAGTTACGGGAAAACTCCTGGACAAAAATAAATGAAACTCGGCAACCAACTAGAGGAAAGGTTAAACTAACGACATGCCAGCGTACAATCCCGAACGATTACTAGAACCGGAGATATTGCCGTGTTTGTGTGAATTTCCTCTGCGGTTCGAAAACTAGGCGGAGCTGCGGGTTGATCGCCAACCACACAAGCGCCCCACATGTCTTCTTTATTGCTGTAAAATTTCAGATCTCTGCGTTTAGTAGATTTTCCGTACCAACTTAAAATTACCACCCATCCATTGATAAAACCCTAGATCTAGAAACTTGATAGCGCATTCCAAACGCGAGGTGCCGGCACGCAAGAGGCGCGTGATCGCTAGGCGGCATGTGATTGGCTGCCTATAACCAAATGGGTCACCGATGACTACATCGCGGGTTTTCCCGATAGCGCTTTACTGAGTTTTAGAAGGGGTGATCGCGTCGCCGTAAAAACGATGTCACGCAATTCAACAAATTTCACGCAAATATCAGTCTTTAAGATCCAAAGTAATGAAGACATCGAAAAAGTGATAGCAGAACTAGATTCGGCACTAAAAATCACATGGAGATGCCAAGTTTCATTCATATGCTCCAATTCATTACTGACTTATGAACAGTTTTTCCTCAAAATACATCAAAACATGTCCCACATTTTGGCGATTTTTTCCTATATATGAAGGTCCTCCAACATTTTGCAAACAAAAATCCCAATAACTTTTTTATTTATCAATGGATTTTTAATTTTTTAAAACCATAGTTCTTAGAATTTACTCTATTTTCATTTAAGTCCATTTTTAAGCAATTTGGATGAAAATTTAATTTTTCATTGTCATTGCTAAATGCACACATTTCTAGAATATCTATTATAAGGTTATAAATGATTTTAAATTTTACAATAAGTGGTTTTGCAGCCTTCTGTGGCTGTTTTAGAGGATGGACTTGGCATTTTTGATGTAGGAGGAAAAACTTTTCCAGAATCGAGGTCCTAAATATGGGAATATTTTGACCACAAAAATCTCTGATCACAACAACAGATTAAATTTAGGCCGGCACTATTTCTCCGAGCGTTCGGGAAAATAGAGCTGGGCACTATTTCTCAGAATGTTCGGGAAAATAAAGCTGGGCACTATTTCTACGAACACTCGTGAAATCACATCCTTTCCCGCAAATTTTGGAAGATCTATAATATTATAGGCCTAACAAAGATTGTTCGTATACAATATATGTAACAGTGCCAATCGCCCGCTGTGCCTTGGGCCGGAAATCGGCCTCCGCGCGAGGGGTAATTTTTGGGCCGCTCGGAATCAGAAGTGACTCTCTTCTAAGTATAGTTACGGGAAAACTCCTAGACGAAAATAAATGAAACTCGGCAACCAATCAGAGGAAAGGTTAATCTAATGACATGCCAGCGTACAATCTCGAACGATTACTAGAACTGGAGATATTGACGTGTTTGTGCGAATTTCCTCTGCGGTTCGAAAACCAAGCGGAGCTGCGGGTTGATCGCCGACCACACAAGCGTCCCACATGTCTTCTTTATTGCTGTAAAATTTCAGATCTCTGCGTTTAGTAGTATTTTACGTATCAACTTAAAATTACCACCAATCCATTGATAAACACTAGAGCTGGAAACTAGATCACGCATTCCAAACCCGAGGTGCCGGCATGCAAGAGGCGCGTGATCGCAAGGCAGCATGTGATTGGCTGCCTATAACTAAATAGGTCACCTATGACTACATTGCGGGTTTTTCCGATAGCGCTTTACTGAGTTTTAGAAGGGGTGATCGCGTCGAGGTAAAAATGATGTCACGCAATTCAACAAATTTCACTCAAATATCACTCTTTAAGATCCAAAGTAATAAAGACATCGAAAAAGTGATAGCAGAACTAGATTCTGCACTAAAAATCACATGAAGATGCCAAGTTTCATTCATATGCTCCAATTCATTACTGACTTATGAACAGTTTTTCCTCAAAATACATCAAAACATGTCCCACATTTTGGCGATTTTTTCCTAAAAGAAGGTCCTTCAACATTTTGCAAACAAAAATCCCAATAACTTTTTTATTTATCAATGGATTTTTTAAATTTAAAAACCATAGTTCTTAGAATTTACTCTATTTTCATTTAAGCCCATTTTAAAGCAATTTGGATGAAAATTTAATTTTTCATTGTCATTGCTACAATATGGTTCAATCGGTCCAAAAAATGTCCGCAGTAAATATTTATATAAAGTTTTAGAAATGCTACAGTTCCAAACAGTTTTTCGCTACAGATATGACGTGTTGCCTATGAAGGATGCTGCTCTTAAACTTAATATGTTGTGTTCACTCGTGTGCTGTCTAGGTCTAGATCTATGGAGGATTATTGATAACGACACATAGAACTAGCATCTGCGTTTGCCGCGGCCGCAACCAATCAATCGTGGCTCGATTTTTTTGCATTTTTTGGGTCCCCGAATCGGGGAATAAAAGTCAAATTTAAAAAAAAAAAGAAACCGAACCTCTTTACTTTTGAAAGAAAGTTCACTTAGCTTCACTTCGTCTCTTTCTCACTTGTTGTCACCACGTTGATTGGTTGAATACGTTACAGTTTTATAGGATTTGTATTGCTGTTCCTCTTTTATTTTTCCCTCTTTGTGGTGTTTTATTTTGTTGGTAGTGTGTAATTTTTTTTTCTTGTTATTGTTCTGATGTGTTGTTTTTCTATTAATTATTTTTTTTGTTGGGGAAAAAGTGGGGGGGGGGGGGGGATGTTGTATCTAGTGTAACCCAAGACGGAGTAAGACAAGACGAGACAACAGCCTCATTTTCGTTCCAACTGGCTCCCCTTGGTAACCAGCTAGGTGCGCGTTTAAAGCGTAAACAAACAACAGGAAGAAAGAGCGCACTGTTCAACTCGCTGAAATAGATGCCTAAATCTACTTTGAATTTCATAATGGCAGTTTTGCCTTGGGTTTTTTCTTTTATCGTATAAACTGTTTGGTATTTATTTTGACTGGTTTTTGTTCACATTTTGAATATAGTGAGTTGGGAAAAAAGATTTTAATGAATGGAAAGCGGTAGTGAGTTGAACATGTTCAGTGACATGATGATGTAGATTTAGATCTAGATCTAGGAGTTTACGAAACGGTAGAAGTACATTAGATTATATTACAGTTTAAAAACGACAGAATAGCCAGTGGTGCTCTGCAATGAACTGTTCTCTACTAACAGAATATGCAATAGATTGGATATTTTGAAAAAACTAAAGATACGGTCTGAGGTGCCAGACGAGGGTGAAGACAAGATCTGCTGAGCAAGTCACAAGAATGTTTCTTTTCTGAGACAGTTCTCTGCTCTGAGTCTTGGGTACTTTGCAGACTCTCAGTTTCTTGGTGCTAAGGTAAACCAACTGAAGGTGCAATACAGCCATACCTGTGTTATTCAAAGTTCCCAATCCCCGTACTCTAGACAGAAACAAACCACCACAAAAGGACTTAGAAAGACTCATGCTCTTTTACAACATGGAAATTCCTCAATCTCAAACATCATTTTCACAAGTAAATTTTTCTTTTTTAAAAATCTTGTTCATTTATTCAGCCAAGAATAAGCTATGAAATTTGTTAAAAGTATGTGTGTATATATATATATACTGGATAATAGAAGTGAAACTTCATCACATTGTGTTTGTTAACAAGGTAGGCCCTAAGTAATATATAGGCACCTATACTTATACTTATACTACAGCCTACGTTTTAAAACAAAATTGAATTTCATTTGGAAATCAAAATAAAACAAAGTGATACACATCATGTAG